AGCGGGGCAGTGCGGTACGGGAAGAGGTGGTAGTAGGGGACGGACTCGTCAAAAGTGACGTCCTGAGAGGGCAAGACTCGGCGCGAGGTGGCGTGGTAAAACTGCCAACCAGGCGCGTCCGGGACAAAGCCAAGGAAGACGCAGGGAACAGCACGGGAGGAGAGCTTGTCCGCAGACGTATCGCGGACAAAAGCTCGAGATCCCCAGACCCAGAAACGCGACGCATCGCCAACCTCCCCCGTCCACAGCAGTGTGGGCGAGGTCTCCGGCAAGGAGACACGGGGCCAGAGGTTGAGCTCATGCGTAGCGTACCGGACCGCAAACGGCCACAGAAAGTGGGGGGCAGCCGCATGGATCAAGGAGGTACGGGCGACCTCCATGACCAGGCCATTGTGGCGCTCCGCAACCCCATTCTGCTGTGGTGAGGCCGGAAGCGTGAACGACTGCTCAATGCCGTGCTCAGCACAGTAGGCTGCCAAGAGGTCGGAGGAGAACTCACCACCTCTGTCAGAGTGCAAGTGCAGGACAGAAAAGTCCGAGTGGAAACGCTCGCTGAGCTGGAGACGGGCTCTAAAGATCCAAGGGATCAAGACATTAGGGACCTCACCCTTGGTGCGCAAGGGGAAGACCGTGGAGTAGCGCGAGTAGTCATCAACAACTATCAGGAAGTACCTCTCCTGACCCTGACCACGGACGCGGGCTGGGCCCCACACGTCCATGTGGAGCGTCTGCAAGGGGGCAGTCGTCGGAGGAAATGAGGAGGAGTGAGGAGCGGCGCGCTGCCGCCCCTCGACACAGGGAAGACAGGGAGGAGCAGGTGAGGGAGGGAGGGGAGGAAGGACCCTAGGAAGGCCAGAGACAAGGTACCAGGAGTGCATGGCACGAAGCCGCTGCACAGACGGGTGACCAAGGCGGTGGTGCCAAAGGAGAGTCTCGTGTGCCAGAGAGCGACACGAGCAAGGGGCCGACAGCTGACCTGACGCGGACGCAGACGCAGACGCAGCGACCTGAGGGGACTCAGTGGTCAGTGTGTACAGGTCCGACCCCGGCTGCCGAGTGAAGGTAGCCAAGTGACGGCCCGTACGAGCACACGTGCAGTGTGTCACGCGCTCGTAGGCAGGGGTGAACTGGTGAACACCCCCGTCCTGGAGCGCACATCCTGCCACCAGGTTCGTAGAGAACGAGGGGAGGTGGAGACCTGACAGTGTGCCCGACGGGACCGCAGGACAGGGAAGGACTGTGGAGGAGGTCGCAATGACCGGACCCCTAGAGGGGTCAGCGAGGGATACAGCAACTGGCCGAGCAAGCGGCTCAAGGGCAGTGTGGTCACGAAAGAAGCAGCGAGAAGCACCTGAGTCCAGTGTGAATGTGTGGAGTGCTGCAGTCGACTCAGTACCAGGGGGGGCAGACGTACAAGCACCTAGAGTAGCTGCCTCACCAGACACGCGACACGCGAGTACCTGGAGCGGCAGACGCACTAGTCCTAATGCCCCTGCTGCTACTGCTGACAGCACTGCCCGCTCACAGTGGCAGACTCGTGATGCCCACGCTCGCTTCGCTATTCGCAACTCCCTGCCGATCGACGAACGCGAGCACTTTGGCCAGCACAAGACTGCACAGGCACTATACACAGTTGTCGTTGCTCGCTACTCCTCACCTGCCTCTGCCGCGCTAGGCCGTCTCTCCCTCCCCTACTTGTTTCCCGACCTGGCCTCTTTCCTCACTGTCGCTGACCTCATCACGCACCTCCGTACTAGTGAGGCCCGCTTCCGTGCAGCCATGCCCGATGAGTTCCTTGCCTCGCACCCCGGCTCGGCTCGGGTCGCGCGGCTCGGGTCGTGAAGCGCGGCTCGGTTCGGTCCTGGGCGGCTCGGTTCGGTCCTGGGCTGTAGCGGTCACTGGCCGATCGGGACCTCTAGGGGCGAGCGCGGGGCCGTTCGGGGCCTCTAGGGGCGGTGAGCGCGGGGCCGACGGGGCCGTTCGGGGCCTCTAGGGAGGTGAGCGCGGGGCCGTAAAGAGGCCTCTAGGGACCGACAGGGCTGTTCGGGACCTCTAGGGAGGTGAGCGCGGGGCCGACGGGGCCATAAGGGGCCTCTAGGGAGGTGAGCGCGGGGCCGACGGGCCGCTCGGGGCCTCTAGGGAGGTGAGCGCGGGGCCGACGGGGCCGTAAGGGGCCTTTAGGGAGGTGAGCGCGGGGCCGACGGGGCCGTTAGAGGCGATCGCGGGGCCGACAGGGGCCGTTAGGGGCGAGCGCGTGGGTCGTTCGGGGCCTCTAGGGGCAAGCGTGGGGCCGTAAGGGGCAAGCGCGTGGGCCGACGGGGCCTTAAGGGGCGGCTCGCAGGTCGCTAAGGGGCGGGTCGCGGGTCGCTGGGCCTTAGAGGGCCGTGAAAACCGAGGCACCCTAGGGCGCAGGTAGGTAGGTAGGTAGGTAGGTAGGTAGTGGTGGGCCCTAAAAAAACGGTCCTAGGAAGGGCCTACTCTGATACCATGTTCAAATGAACGAACAGGAATGATGAACTAACAGTGAAAACAGAACAAATACCTAACCCTAGAATTGTGTACCCCCTATAGGCTAACCCACTGTAGCCTAAACAAGCACAACAACATATATAATGTTTGACATCGTGTTGTACCCAAGTGATTCATTCAATTCGACTCAATTCTCATTCTCTTTTCTGAGCTCGATCCTAGATCCTCACACTTGGTAATTAGAGCCCGTTTACAGGCGAAGTTCTTTCGACCGCTAAAAACCAGTCTTAAAAAACCGCGGGGGCGACGCAGTCAAACATTGATTTCGGGTACGTAAAACCGGTTCCGTGTTTTTCGCTCCCCCTTGATTCGGTTTTTCGGACGCGTTGATGTCAAGCATGGAGGGCCAAGGCGACAACTACGCGACTACGAGCGACATGGCGAGCCTCCGCACCGACATGGAGCAGACGCAGGTGACGCTTCGTCGACTCGAGGCTTTTCTGACAAGCCAACCAGGGTTCGCCACCGCAGCAGCAGCGACCGCAGCGACTACAGCACCGACAACTCCAGCAGCAGTGGCGACACCGACATTTCACGGACCAATGGCACCACTGTCGCCGAACCTCGAAGCAGCACGACCGAGGCTCCTGGAGGCGTTTAATCCAAGGGCGAAGGGACTCGACGTCCGACGATTCGTGGCCACCCTCGAAATTTACTTCGAGGCCATTGGCTGATCGACCCCGCAACACGACGCAGCAAGGATTCGGCTCGCAGTGACACTGTTACGTGGACCGGCTCTCGAATGGATTTACTACACCGACGTAGCCCGCGGGGAGAAAACGTGGCAGCAGTTTTGGGCAGATTTAATCGAGCGTTTCGAACCAATTAATACAACCTACATGGCGCGGCAGCAGATACATCGACACAAGCAATACAGTAGTGTAACACAGTACACGCAGCAGATGGAGTTACTGTTCAACCGCATCACCGACCTGACCGAAGGCGAAAAAATCCAGGCGTACACCGAAGGGTTAAAAATGGAGATTCGTCGGCAGGTGATTGCGGCGAATTACAACAGCTACAGAGACATCGTGCATGCTGCCGAGCGATACGACGCGCTGACTCGAGGTCAACCCGAAACACGACGCTTCACGCCGAACCGTACATTCGGCACGGAGCGATCGGCACCCCCCACGTTCGCAGAACCGATGGATATCGACAAATACGACGCGAAGCAGCTGTCATAATCTTATAGCTTATACATTTGTGTAGGCTGTAGTGGGGTAGCCCATAAGGGGTACAACCCAATTAGGGTTAGTACTTGTACCCAACTGTTTCATAGTTCATTCATCCATTCTCACTTCTCGTCATGGTATCGAGCAGGTTCCCGAGTGGGAATACTGCCTAGGGCCCACCACGAACTTTTTTTTTCCTTCCCTGCCCGGAGCGCGCTTCGCTCCTAACCCGAGTAGCGCCTCCAGCCGCCCTTAGTGGCCCCCCATTGGCCGCCCTTACGGCCCCTCGCGCCGCCTTCTACGGCCCCTTACGGCCCCGTCTGGCCCCTTACGACCCCGTCGCGGCCCCGCTTAGGCCCCTTACAGCCCCGTCGCGGCCCCGCTTAGGCCCCTTACGGCCCCGTAGCGGCCCCACTTAGGCCCCTTACGGCCCCGTTGCGGCCCCGCTTAGGCCCCTTACGGCCCCGTAGCGGCCCCGCTTAGGCCTCTTACGGCCTCGTCGCGGCCCCGCTTAGGCCCCTTACGGCCCCGTCGCGGCCTCGCCTAGGCCCCTCCGCGGCCCCGTCTGGCCCCTTACTACCCCACTTCGGCCCCTTACAACCCACGGCCCCTTACGGCCCCGCCGCGGCCTCGCCTAGGCCCTTCCGCGGCCCCGCCTGGCCCCTTACAGCCTCGCCTAAGCCCCCCTCCGCGGCCCCGTCTGGCCCCTTCTGGCCCCGCTACGGCCCCTTCTGGCCCCGCTACAGCCCCGTCTGGCCCCGCTACGGCCCCGTCTGGCCTAGCTACGGCCCCCTCTGGCCCCGCTACGGCCCCGTCTGCCCCCCCCCCCCCCCTTACGGCCCCGTCGCCACCTGCAGCCTCGTCGCCACCTGCGGCCCTGTCGCCACCTGCGGCCCCATCGCCACTTGCGGCCCCCCTGACACCTGCGGCCCCGCCGCCACCTACGGCCCCGTCGCCACCTGCGGCCCCGCCACCACCTGCGGCCCCGCCGCCACTTGCGTCCCCGCCGCCCAGCGCCCGCACCGCCGAGCAACCGAACCGCCGGCCAGCTGAGCCGCCCGACTGCCGAGCCGCCCAGCAGCCGAGCAGCCCGACAGCCGAGCCGCCAAGCAGCCGAGCCACCCGACCGCCGAGCCGCCCAGCACCGAGCAACCGAGCCGCCCGACCTCCGAGCCGCCGAGCAGCCGAGCCGCCCGACCTCCGAGCCGCCCGGCCGCCCCACTTGCCTGGTAAGAGCATAGTCTCTGCCACTGCACTGCCCTCCCCCACTGTCCTCACTGCTTGCCTACTGCTGTTATGGCCTCCCCTAGCGTTCTCACCTTTGACGCTGAGGGTAGGGCAGTGGACTTTGAGGTCTGGGTAGATGATCTGCAGCTTTTCCTGCAGTGCGATAGGGCAGACGGCCTCTCCCTGTTTGACCTCACTTCTGGTGCCTCCCCTGCCCCTCCTGCTGATGCTGACGCCACTGTTCGCTCAAAGTGGGCCACGCGCAATGCTGCTGCTCGCCTTGCTGTGCGCCGCCACTTACCGACCACTGAGCGTGCACACTTTAGCCAGTACAAGAGTGCTCAGACCTTGTACGACGCTTTAGTTGCACGCTACTCTTCCCCTGCCACTGCTGCACTGAGCCGCCTCATGCTACCGTACCTCTTCATTGACCTTGCTTCCTTTCCCACAGTCGCTGACCTCATTACGCACCTCCGCACTAGTGACACTCGCTACTGTGCTGCGCTTCTTGCTGAGTTCTGCGCCAAGAACCCCCCCCTATGTACATCACCCTCTACTACATAGTCACCCGGCTCCCTAACTCTCTCCGCGTAGTCAGGGACCACTTCCTCTCAGTTTGCCCCACCACTCTCACCGTTGACCTCCTCGAGAAGGCCCTCCTAGCAATAGAGAAGAGCATAGTCGCTGTAGGAGCCTCTCGTGTTGACCCTCGCACCCCCGTCTTTGAGGGGTGTTCTCCCTCCCCCCTCTTGCCCTGTGTTGCCTCTACTGCTGCGGCCGACCTCGTTGGTTTCGAGTCGTTCAGCGCTGCGTCTGCCCCGAGTGGGAGACGCAGCACCGGCAAGGGCAAGGGGGGCAAGGGCGCTGGAGGGGCTGGAGGGGGCGGTGGAGGTGGTAGTGGAGGCAGTGGAGGGACTGGGGGTGGTGGTGGGAGTGGTGCTGGGGGTGGTGGCGGCGGCGGCAGCAGTGGAGGCGGCAGAGGCGGTGGAGGTGGCGCAGGGAGCGGAGGCGGCGGAGGTGGCAGTGGTGGAGCGAGTCGCGACTTTGCACAGAAGAGTGGCGCCGGTGGTGGTCAGCGCCAGCAGCAACAGCGGAGTGGTGTGACTCTGTCCCCTCAGCAGCTTCGTGAGTGGTACACTGCGCGTCAGCGCGGTGGGGGTTTTGGTCCCTGCTCTTACGTCCTCCGTACCGGCGACCGCGCTGGTGACCAGTGCGGGGGCCCGCACTCCACCCAACGCTGCTTTGGTGGCCTGACGGCGCGTGGCATCGCCGGTTTGCTGAGGCGTCAGAGATCCCTCGCTGGGGAGATCTGGCTAAGGCCGGGGTTGCTATCTTTGATCTTGACTTTGATGCTATCCTTGCTGCCATGTATGCTGTTGATACTAGTGTTGCTGGGGACTGTTACCTGTGTGTACCGCCTGACCCGGGCATTGAGGCTGCTGCTCTAGGTGCTGGTGAGGCTGCTGCTCTAGGTACTAGTGCGTCTGCTGCCACAGGCGCCAGTGCGTCTGCCGCCCCTGGTGCTGGTGAGTCTGCTCTCTCAGGTACTACGTCGGCTCTGGCCTTCCACACCTTCACCTTGGACGCGGGTGCGTCCCGCTCCTTCTTTCGAGACCGCACCACTCTTACGCCGCTCAGTCGGCCAGTTTCACTCTCCCTGGTAGACCCCTCTGGGGGTCCTGTCCTTGCTAGCTTCTTCACTGTCCTTCTGTGCCCAGCAGCCCCCTCTGGTACCCTGTCTGGTCTCTACCTCCCCTCGTTCTCTACGAACTTGGTGAGTGGAGCGGACCTACAGGATAGGGGGGTTGACCAGTTCACTCCTGCGAGTCAGCGAGTGACCCACTGCACGTGTGCTCGGACAGACCGAAACTTGGCCACGTTCACCCGTCGGCCGGGGTCGAGCCTGTACACCCTTACTACTAAGTCTCCTCCTACTGCTGAGTTTGCCCAGGTAGCTGCGTCAAGTCAAGGGTTTGCTGCGGCGTTCAGGTCCGGTCTTGAGTCTTCCCCCTGCTCGTGTCGTCTGCTGTCCCAACAGACTCTCCTTTGGCACCACCACCTTGGCCACCCCTCCTTGCCTCGTCTCCGAGGCATGGCCTCCCGTGTCCTTGTCTCTGGTCTCCCTCGGGCTCTCCCTCCCCTTCCTCTGGGGCCTGGCCCTAACTGCGTCCCCTGCGTCGAGGGGCAACAGCGCGCCGCCCCTCACTCCACCGAGTTTCCTCCGACAGAGGCTCCGCTGCAGACTCTTCACATGGACGTGTGGGGTCCAGCCTGCGTAAGTGGGCAGGGGCGAGAGCGGTACTTTCTGCTGGTCGTTGACGACTACTCGCGCCACACCACAGTCTTCCCCTTGCGCAGCAAGGGTGACGTCACTGAGGTGTTGATCGACTCGATCCGCGCAGCTTGACTCCAGCTCAGGGAGAGTTTCGGCTCGGACTTTCCTGTTCTGCATCTGCACTCGGACAGAGGCGGGGAGTTTTCCTCTGCCCGTCTGGGAGCCTTCTGTCGTGCACACGGCATCCGCCAGACCTTCACGCTTCCGGCCTCTCCACAACAAAATGGGATTGCCGAGCGCCGCATTGGCATGGTCATGGACGTCGCTCGTACGTCCATGATGCATGCGGCTGCCCCCCATTTTCTGTGGCCGTTTGCGGTTCAGTACGCCGCGCATCAGCTCAACCTTCAGCCCCGGGTCTCCTTGCCAGAGACCTCCCCCGCCTTGCGGTGCACCGGGAAGGTTGGCGATGCGTCTGTGTTTCGGGTCTGGGGATCTCGGGCGTTTGTCCGCGACTTGTCTGCGGACAAGCTGTCCCCCCGTGTTGTTCCCTGCGTCTTCCTTGGCTTCCCCCCTGACGCGCCTGGGTGGCAGTTTTACCACCCCACCTCGCGCCGGGTTCTGTCCTCCCAGGACGTCACCTTTGACGAGTCGGTGCCTTACTACCGTCTCTTCCCCTACCGCACTGCTCACCTCCCCTTGCCGCCGCTCTTCCTTGCCCCAGGTGCTACCCTGGTAGACCCCCTTCCCCCTCAGGGTCCTGCCCCGTCAGGTGTGTCCCTAGTAGACGCTGTCGAGCCTATCGAGGTAGCTGTTGACCCTGGTGCTGCTAGAGGTGTTGAGCTTGCGGGTACCGGGTCTGGGGGTGCTGAGTCCGGGGGTGCTGAGACTGGGGGTGCTGAGCCTGGGGGTGCTGAGACTCGGGGTGATGAGCCTGGGGGTGCTGAGTCAGGGGGTGCTGAGCCTGGGGGTGCTCGCGCTAGTGGTTCTACTGGTGGTGATGCGTCAGGGGGTGCTGCTGAGGCTGCTGGTGCTGACGGTCCTCCTGGAGTTGGTGCTGCTAGAGCTGGAGCTGCTGGGGGTGTTGGCGCTGGCGGTGCTGCTGGCGCTGGTGCTCCTGAGGGTGCTGGAGTTGGCGCTGTTGGAGCTGGAGGTGCTGCTGGCACTGTTGCTGCCGCTGGGGGTACTGGTGCTGTCCTTGCTGGTTCTGGAGGCGCTGCACGGCTGAGGCCGTACTTCATTCCGCTCCTGGAGCAGGTTCTTGGTCTCCCGCCCTCCACTGGTCCTGCTCCTCCCTTAGAGTGTCCGCCGCCTGTCTAGTCGTAGTCACAGTTACAGCCCGCCTCCCCTCTACCTGCTCCTTCTCCCTACACTGGTCCTAATGGAGGTCTTGCTGAGCGTCGTGAGCCTGCGTCTCGTCCTGCGTCGCCTGTTCGTGCTGCTCGCACTAGTGGTCGTACTGCACGTCCACGTCCTCCTGCGGTCCCAGGCACACACCAAATGGCACTGCGTCCTTCCACTGCTCCTCTGCGTGTCCCGTTGCCGTCTCCTCCAGAGTCCTCTCTTCCTTCTATTGCTGACCCGGAGTCTGACTCCCTTCGTGCTGCTAGTCCTTCGGTCACGCGCCTTCTTGCTACTGTAGTCACTGACCCTTCCTTTGAGTCCACTGCTGCGTCTGCTCTAGTTGCTGAGCTAGTCGACTTCGCTGCTCGCTGTCGTCTGGACTACGTTGCCAGTCTAGTTGCTGAGTCTGAGTCTGTCTGTCCTCCGTCCGTCGGGGGTGAGTGTGCTCTTAGCACGGACGTCCTTGAGGACACGCAGGAGGGGTTCCAGTGCTTTGCGGCTGCTTTGCCGCATCTCGTGTCCTCGTTGATTGCCCCTGAGGGAGACCCGGATGCACCAGACATCCCGACTCCTCGATCGTACGCTGAGGCGATCAAGGGTCCCTACTCCTCTCAGTGGCAATCGGCCATGGACGCAGAGATGGCTTCCTGGAAGTCCACACGCACCTACGTCGACGAGGTTCCCCCACCTGGGGCGAACATCGTCAGTGGCATGTGGATTTTCAGGGTGAAGTGGCCGCCGGGTTCTCCGCCTGTCTTCAAGGCGCGTTACATGGCTCGAGGCTTCAGTCAGCGGCAGGGAGTTGACTACTTTCAGAACTTCTCTCCCACCCCGAAGATGACCACTCTTCGAGTGCTGCTGCACATAGCCTCTCAGCGCGACTACGAGCTTCAATCTCTTGACTTCACCACAGCTTTCCTGCAAGGCAGCCTGCACGAGGAGATCTGGCTGCACCGCCCCCCTGGCTTCACTAGGTCGTTTCCTCCTGGTACCCAGTGGAGCCTTCGACGGCTAGTCTACGGTCTCCGCCAGGCGCCCCGTGAGTGGCACGACACACTGAGGACTACACTTGCGGCTCTTGGGTTTGCTCCTTCTACAGCCGACCCGTCGTTGTTTCTGCGCACCGACACCTCTCTACCGCCGTTCTACATCCTCGTGTACGTCGACGACTTGGTCTTTGCTACCACTGACACTACTAGACTCGCCCACGTGAAGTCGGAGCTGCAGAAGAGACACACGTGCACAGACCTGGGTGAACTGCGCAGCTACCTTGGCTTGCAGATCACCCGGGACAGAGCACAGCGCACCATTACCCTGACTCAGTCACACATGGTGCAGCAAGTCCTTCAGTGCTTCGGCTTCACGTACTCCTCGCCTCAGGCCACTCCTCTGTCTACTCGCCACTCGCTCTCAGCTCTGCCTTCGGATGAGTCCGTAGAGTCGAGTGGCCCGTACCCAGAGCTTGTTGGCTTAGATCTCAGCCTCACAACTGGAGCTGAGTAGCCTGGTCGTCTGCCCAAGAAGAGTTTGAGTGCCTAGTGAGAACAACTGGGACTCGCCCTCCAAGCACTAGCCCCATGCGCGACGTACTGCACAAGTAGCGCAACACCCTCTTAGCTGCATCCATGTGCTCCTTCCGGTGACGGCCGGGAGCGACATAGCGTGCAAGAATGCTGAGAGGGTATGCAAGGTCAGGTCGAGTGCAGGTCATCAGGTACATGAGGCAACCCACAAGCTCTGGATACGGGCCACTCGACTCTACGGACTCATCCGAAGGCAGAGCTGAGAGCGAGTGACCGGTAGGCAGAGGAGTGGGTTGAGGCGAGGAGTACGTGAAGCGGAAGCGCTGAAGGACCTGCTGCACCATGTGTGACTGAGTCAAGGTGATGGTGCGGCGTGCTCTGTCCCGGGTGATCCGCAAGCCAAGATAGCTTGTCAGTTCACCCAGGTCTGTGCACGTGTGTCTCTTCTGCAGCTCCGACTTCACGTGGGAGAGTGCCGCAGTGTCAGCAGTAGCAAAGACCAAGTCGTCGACGTACAAAAGGACGTAGAACGGCGGCAGTGAGGTGTCGGTGCGTAGAAACAGCGACGGGTCAGCAGTAGAAGGCGTGAACCCAAGAGCCGCAAGTGTAGTCCTCAGTGTGTCGTGCCACTCACGAGGCGTCTGGCGGAGACCGTAGACTGACCGTCGGAGGCTCCACTGGGTACCAGGAGGGAACGACCCAGTGAAGCCAGGTAGACGGCGCAGCCAGATCTCCTCGTGCAGGCTGCCTTGTAGGAAAGCGGTGCTGAAGTCAAGCGAGTGGAGCTCGTAGTCACGCTGAGCGGTGACGTGCAGCAGAACCCGAAGAGTGGTCATCTTCGGGGTCAGGGAGAAGGTCTGGAAGAAGTCAACTCCCTCTCGCTGACTGAAGCCTCGTGCAACGTAACGCGCCTTGAAGACAGGCGGAGAGCCCGGCGGCCGCTTCACCCTGATAATCCACATGCCACTGACGATGTTTGCCCCAGGTGGGGGAACCTCGTCGACGTAGGTGCCTGTGGACTTCCAGGAAGCCATCTCTGTGTCCATGGCCGACTGCCATTGAGAGGAGTAGGGACCGGCCATCGCCTCTGCGTAAGAGCGTGGGGTCGGGATGTCGGGTGCATCCGGGTCTCCCTCAGGGGCAACAAGCATGGAGACGAGATGGGGCAAAGCGGCAGCAAAGCACTCAAACTCCTCCTGCCTGTCCTCAAGGACGTCAGTGCCAAGAGCACACTCACCCCCGACGGACGGAGGACAGACAGACTCAGACTCAGCAACCAGGCTAGCAGCGTAGTCTAGACGACAGGTGGCAGCAAGGTCGACAAGCTCAGCAACTAAGGCAGACGCAGCAGCGGACTCAAAGGAAGGGTCAGTGACAACAGTAGCCAGGAGACGCGTGACAGTAGGACTGGCAGCACGAAGGGAGTCTGACCCAGGGTCAGTAAGAGCAGGAAGAGAGGAACCAGGAGGAGACGGCAGTCGGACACGCTGTGGAGCAGTGGACGGACGAAGCGCCATCCGGTGAGTGCCGGGGACAGCAGGAAGACGCGGGACACGACTACCAGTGAGAGCAGCACGGACAGGCGACGCACGACGAGGCTCAGGCAACGCAGGACGAGACTCAGGCTCACGGCGCTCAGTAAGACCTCCAGTCGGACCAGTGTAAGGAGCAAGACCAGAGAGAGAGGAGGCAGACGGTAGCTGCGACGGCAGCTGGGCAGACGGAGGACACCCTAAGGAGGGAGGAGGACACGGAGGAGGGAGCGAACCAAGAACCTGCTGAAGGAGCGGAATGAAGTACACCCGCAGCCGTGCAGCGACACCAGAACCAGTAGAGACACCCGCACCAGGGTCCTCAGCACCAGCAGCCGCTCCAATGTCCGGGTCCCCAGCACCAGCAGCAGCTCCAACGCCCGGGTCCGCAGTACCAGCAGCAGCTCCAACGCCCGGGTCCGCAGCACCAGCAGCAGCACCAACACCCGGGTCCTCAGCACCAGCAGCAGCTCCAACACCTGGGTCCGTAGCACCAGCAGCAGCTCCAACGCCCGGGTCCGCAGCACCAGCAGCAGCTCCAACACCTAGGTCCTCAGCACCAGCAGCAGCTCCAACGCCCGGGTCCGCAGCACCAGCAGCAGCACCAACAGCTGCGGGGTCCGCGACACGAGGCGCGCCACTCCGAAGAGTGCAGCGTCGCTCGTACCACTCACGGATCCGCTCACGGGAGGGGAGCTCCCGACTAGGAGAAGAAGTACTAGCACCAGTCCCAGTAGCACGCCCGGCTCCTAAGGTGCCTTTGCTGAGGCGGCAGTACTGTAAGTACCACTCATGCAGCTGCTCCGAGGAGAGAGCTCCCCCAGGTGTAGGACTCCCAGGCTCAGTACCTCCAGGCTCCGCACCCCCAGTCCCGGCACCCCCACGCTCAGCACCCCCAGGCTCAGCACCCCCAGCAGGAAGAGAGTCGACAGCTACCTCAACAGGCTCAACCGGGTCTACCTGAGACACACCTGAGGGAGCGGCACCCTGAGGGGGGAGGGGGTCTACAACAGCAGCACCTGGCGCGAGGAAGAGAGGTGGGGGGGGGAGTGGGGCAGTGCGGTAGGGGAAGAGGCGGTAGTAGGGGAGGGACTCGTCAAAAGTGACGTCCTGAGAGGGCAAGACTCGGCGCAAGGTGGCGTGGTAAAACTGCCAACCAGACGCGTCCGGGACAAATCCGAGGAAGACGCAGGGAACAGCACGGGAGGAGAGCTTGTCCGCAGACGTATCGCGGACAAAAGCTCGAGATCCCCAGACCCGGAAACGCGACGCATCGCCAACCTCCCCCGTCCACAGCAGTGTGGGCGAGGTCTCCGGCAAGGAGACACGGGGCCAGAGGTTGAGCTGATGCGCAGCGTACCGGACCGCAAACGGCCACAGAAAGTGGGGGGCAGCCGCATGGATCAAGGAGGTACGGGCGACCTCCATGACCAGGCCAATGCGGCGCTCCGCAACCCCATTCTGCTGTGGAGAGGCCGGAAGCGTGAACGACTGCTCAATGCAGTGCTCAGCACAGTAAGCTGCCAAGAGGTCGGAGGAGAACTCACCACCTCTGTCAGAGTGCAAGCGCAGGACAGGAAAGTCCGAGTGAAAACGCTCGCTGAGCTAGAGACAGGCTCTGCGGATCCAAGGGATCAAGACATCAGGGACCTCACCCTTGGTGCGCAAGGGGAAGACCGAGGTGTAGCACGAGTAGTCGTCAACAACTATCAGGAAGTACCTCTCCTGACCCTGACCACGGACGCGGGCTGGGCCCCACACGTCCATGTGGAGCGTCTGCAAGGGAGCAGTCGTCGGGGGAAACGAGGAGTGAGGAGCGGCGCGCTGCCGTCCCTCGATACAGGGGAGACAGGTAGGAGCAGGTGAGGGTGGGAGGGGAGGAAGGACCCTGGGCAGGCGAGAGACAAGGTACCGGGAGTGCATGGCACGAAGCCGCTGCACAGACGGGTGGCCAAGTCGGTGGTGCCATAGGACAGTCTCGTGTGCCAGAGAGCAACACGAGCAGGG